TCCTTTTCTCTTTACTTTTCTCTTAGTTATTCCCCCTACTTTTTTTAACTCTTTTACTTTTTTTTTTAGATTTTTTTTCCTTTCTATACGCTTTACTTCTAGTCTTAGAACTACTTAGAAGGATTTTTCTTGAAACCTAGGTTGATTTTGATGATTATCAATGATTTAGCCCAAATTGAGGTTGAATCATGAAATTGGTAGTGAATTATCATATGTACAAGTTTAATTAGAATTTGTTATGTTTGGAAAATTACACACAAGAAATACACGAATTGTGGCGGGGGACCACTTTTTTTTTTTTGGCCGACTAAAAATATTTTGGTTGCCAAAAGTGTGGAATTGGCGACCAAAAATTATGTTAGTCGGGATTTAAAGTACAATATTTAGCTACTAATCTTTTTTTAGTCGGGGTAATTAATTTCTTCGTGCGACGTAAAAACAAAATTTAGTCTGCTAAAAAATCTCACAGATTAGGCGACTAAAAAAATTAGTCCGCTAAAATTTGCTACAATTGGTGACTCAAAAAATTATTATTGGTCGCAAAATAAAAAATTTATCTATCGCGACCAAAAGTTTGGTCGGCAAAACTTTAATTTCAGCGACTAAAAATATATTTTGGTCGCTGTATATATAGTTTTGGCAACTAAAATAATTTTGTCGCTGAAAGAAAAATAAAAAATTTATTTTTATCTTTCGCGACTAAAAGTTGTCGACAAAACTTTAATTTCAGCGACTAAAAAATATTTGGTCGCTGTCTATAGTATAGTTTGGCAACTAAAATGAATTTTGTCGCTGCACAAGAAAAATAAAAATTTTATTTTTTATCTTTCGCGGAGCTAAAATGTTGGTCGCAAAACTTAATTTCAGCGACTAAAAAATATTTTTGGTCGTTGTATATATAGTTTGGCAACTAATAAATTTTGCACGCTGAAAGAAAATAAAAATATATTTTTTATCTTTGGCGACTAAAATTTTGGTCGGCAAAACTTTAATTTCAGCGACTAAAAAATATTTTAGTCGCTGTATTTAGTTTTGAACTAAATAATTTTGTCGCTGCACATTAAAAATATTTAGTCGCTGAATGAAAAAAATTTATTTTTCTTTTTGGCGACCAATAGTTTGGTCGGCAAAATTTAATTTCAGCGAAAAAAAATATTTTGGTCGCTGTATATATAGTTTTGGCAACTAAATAAAATAAATTTAGTCGCTGAATGAAAAATGAAAAATTTATTTTTATCTTTGGCGACCAAAAGGTTTAGTTTGGTCGGCAAAATTTTAATTTCAGCGACTAAAAAATATTTTGGTCGCTGTATATATAGTTTTGGCAACTAAAATAATTTAGTCGTTGAATGAAAAATGAAAATTTATTTTTAATCTTTGGCGACCAAAATTTTGGTCGGCAAAAATTGAATTTCAAAAATATTTTAGTCGATGTATATATATTTTTGGTAACTAAAATAATTTAGTCGCTGAAAGAAAAATAAAAATTTACTTTCACTCATCACTCTTTCTTTCTCTTTCTGTCTGTCTCTCTCTTTCTCTATGTGTCTCTATCTGTCTCTCTCTTTCTCTCTGTGTCTCTGTCTCTCTTCTCTTTCTCTCTCTGTCACTCATCACCCTTCTCTGTCTGTTTGTCTTTCTCTTTCTCTCCGTGTCTCTGTTTTTGTCTCTGTCTCTCTTCACTTTCTCTCTCTGTCTTTTTTTTACTTTCACTTATCACTCTTTCTCTCTCTTTCTATCTGTTTCTCTCTTTCTCTCTGTGTCTCTGTCTCTCTTCTCTTTCTCTCTCTGTCACTCATCACTCTTCTCTGTCTGTTTGTCTTTGTTTTTCTCTCTGTGTCTCTATTTTTGTCTCTGTCTCTCTTCTCTTTCTCTCTCTCACTCATCAATCTTGCCTATCTGTCTGTCTCCTCTCTGTGTCTCTCGCTCATCTCTCTTCTCTCTGTGTCTCTCGCTTATCTCTCTTCTCTTTATCTCTCTCGTCTCTCTTCTCTCTCTCTTTTCTCTTTATCTCTCTCGCTCATCTCTCTCTGTCTCTCTCTCGTTTATCTCTTTTCACTCTTTTTCTCTCTCTCTCTCTCTCTCTCTCTTTGTCTGTCTCTTTTTACCCATCTTTTCATCTTTCTCTTTCTCTATTCTCTTTCTCTCTCTTACTCATCACTCTTCTCTCTTTGTCTCTCTCGCTCATCTCTCTCTCTGTCTCTCTTGTTCATCTCTCTTCTCTCTATGTCTCTCTCACTCATCTCTCTTCTTTCTATCTCTCTCTCGCTCATCTCTCTTCTCTCTATCTCTCTTTCTGTCTCTCTCGCTCATCTCTCTTCTCTTTATCTCTCTCTCTATCTCTCTCGTTCATTTCTCCTCCCTGTTTGTCTCTTTTTCTGTCTCTCGCTCTCTATCTCTTTCTCTCTTTGTCTCTCTCTCTCTCTCTTTCTCTTTCTCTCTCTCTTCTTTTTCTCTCTTTCACTCATCACTCTTCTTTGTCTGTCTGTCTTTGTCTCTGCCTTTTTTTCTTTTTGTCTCTCGCTCATCTCACCTCTCTCTATCTTTCTCTATCTCTATATCTCTCACTCATCTTTCTTCTCTCTATCTCTCTCGGTCATCTTTCTTCTCTCTCTATCTCTCTTTTTTTCTATGTTTTTCTCTCGATCATCTCTTTTCAATCTCTTTCTTTCTCTCTTTGTCTATCTCTCACTCATCTCTTGTTTCTATCTCTATCTGTATCTCTATCTCTTTTTCTCTCTGTCTCTCTTTCACTCATCACTCTTCCATCTCTATTTCTCTATCTATGTCTGTCTGTCTCTCACTCTTCTCTCTCTTTCTCTCTATGTGTCTGTTCGTCTATTTGTCTCTCTCCCCCATTGTGTTCACCTTGCTCACACTTTCCATTCCTTCTTCTCTATTTACCGAGCTCTTCACTACAAGAAAATGCACTTTTAGCGATCACTTTGTCTCTCTCTCGCCCATCACTCTATCTCTGTCTGTCTCTGTCTATCTCTCTTCTCTATCTGTCTCTCACTCATCTCTCTCTCACCACCCATCTCCTCTACCATATTCACTACTACTGCAAATGTCATTCCACTACCAGCATTATTACCATTGTTGTCATTCCACCTCTACGACTACCATTCCTACCACCATCGTTACCACTCCACTACCACTACCACCACTACTACTACTATTACCTCTCCTCTACCATCGCCACTGAATATTTTGTTTTTCGGGTTTTTTTTTAGTGAATATTTTACCATTCCTACCACCATCGTTACCACTCCACTACCACTACCACCACTACTACTACTATTACCTCTCCTCTACCATCGCCACTGAATATTTTTTTTACTTTTTTAGATGTATCTTACTTAAATGTATCTAAAAAGTAAAATACTATACAAAATATATTTTTAAAAATTAATAAATACACAAAATACGAAAAATATATTGAATTTTAATATTTTTTTTTGTATATTTTTGGTATATAGAAATTTTTTTAAAGTTTTTTTTTACGAAAAGTTCTAGCTACAAGATGTTTTAGCCATATATGCGTTATTTGCTGACAAATAACCAATTTAGTCAGTAAATTGGTCTAAAACTTTGCGGGGGAAAATACTTTTAATATTCGCGCCCTCTTCCATTCTCGTTTTGAACAAACACAAAAGTCCTCTCTCTCACACATCACCACCAAACCTCACCCCACCTCATCTCAGCACAGTCCCTCACCACTGTCGCTCACCGTAGGTCGCACATCGCCACCGCCGCAGCCGCAAATCACCACCGCCGCAGCCGCAAATCACCATCGCCACCGCCGCAGATCACAGGTTCTCTCTCCCTCTCTGTCTCGGTCGTGTTCTCTGTCTCGCTCACTCTCTCTCTGTTTCTCTCTCTCCCTTCCTCTATTTCCCAACTATCAACACTTGCTATAGGGTTTTATATGATTTATACTAAATAATTTTGTGTTGATTTCTTAAACTGGTTTGATTTCTAGAGCTTTATGGGTTTGATCTCGTAAATGGGTTTGATTTCACTGGTAAAATTTACTTTCGCCCTCTTTTTCCTTTCTCTCTCATTACTTTCAAAGCCCTAATCCATTGATTGCGTATGTATTTGCATGTATGGCTGCTCATTGATTGTGTATGTACTCTCATGTGTTCTGATTGTTTGAATTGAAATTTGATTCTATGATTGCAATAGTAAATAATTTATTGGCTTCCCTTTGATAATTATTTCTCAGATTTTGGGCAATACTCCTCATTTTGCCAGTTTTCAGGAGGCTTCTCAGTCTCACTCAATGGTTTTGCTACATTTGTTTTCTTAGATCTCCTGTAGCCTTGGATTTGGCGTTAGAGTAATAGTGTAATTCTCTGAGATATAAATCTGGTTTTGCTCAAGCTAATATCTTTATTTATTGACCTACTTAAGATCTATATGTTAAACATATCAGGAAGTCTAACTTATTATGTCCTCTTATTCACACTCTCCTTTTACAGAACCCTAGAAAATAATTTTGCATGTCCAGGGAGGTTTTACTTTTTAATTTAAAATTTCAAAATGGCAACTTAATTTTAATTTATGACTTTTGAAAATTATTCACTATCAATTGTTTCTCATGATTTGTGTGAAGTAATTTTATATGCACAAAAAGAAGAATATTGAAGTGAGATTATTGGTTAGTCTTAGGGAGTGGCAATGCCACTATAGTTGTTGCTGCCTAATGGCCATGTCTGCAACTATAACATTATTTTCTACTAATATGGAAGAGATAAGCACTGCATGACATAGTCCATTTGTTTTGTTATGGCATAGAAGATGGGAAAAAACTAAAACAGAACAAACACATAAGTATACACGGATTTACGTGGTTTGACAATAATCATACATCCATGGGGAAAGAATGACGAAACAATTTCACTATGAATATAGAGATTACAAAAAGCTGGCTCTCTCTCTCTTTCTCTCTTAAACCTTAGTTGACAAGATCATAATTCATCCTAAAAATCCAAATTAACCCAATATATACTAGAATTTGAATGTAGCAAACTGGGTCAAAATAGACCCAAAAACACAAATTCCGGGTCAGACCTTTCATATTAATCAGGTCGAGCGTGCCACAAATGGATAGTAAACATCATCTGGATTGAATTCAAGATGCACCCACAGCATGTCTTTTATGAAATATGATATAGGAACAGAACTTTTGTAGAGAATGATGTGATTTCTTCTACTCTCTTCATTTTCAATCAAAACATCCATCATTGGCCCCATAATTTCAAAAATGTCATTTACATATCATTTTGGATGTGATTAATGCTATAAATTTTATGTTTGCAAATTATTTTCTGTCATTTATTTATTATTTTTCTGCTAATCAAGCAGAAGTTACATTGGCATGCAATGTCAATTTTCAAGGACATGAATTTGATAGCCAATATCTTAATTCCTTGGTGCACTGTGAGATAATATGCAAACCAGGCACCGGTGCATATAATGCAAGAGGTTTCACAAATCTGGGTTGTTCTGCAACCAGAAATTGTTTAGGTTTCAAATTTATCATCTATTTAGTGAACATATGACACCACTAATACGTAACTTTAACAAGTATCTAAAACATATATGGGTTGACAAGGAGACAATTACCTCTAGCTTTTTGAAGGAAATAGATAAATTTAACACAATTGAAGCACGTGCCAAAATCATTCAAAAAATTGACAAGAATATCCAATATTCAATGAGCAAGTGTGAATTTTGAAGTGAAGTCAACTTCCAAAGGTGAAGGCACCTTAGAGGTTTTATAAATTTTTTAACAAGTGGAAATACAGAAGCCATACAATGAATCGATATTTGAACAAGCACTTTGCATATTATAAGGAACATTATGCTTTATAGTATAGTTTATATTTAAAAAGATTAACCAGGGGGGATGAACCAATTCAAGATGACTGCTAGAATGATTTACTTTTTAAATTGATCAACATTAGTGATTAGTATAATATGTAAGTGTGATATTAGTATAAGAAAATGTTGGAGTGAGAAAAGAGTTCAACTTCTAGCAATCCAATCTTCATTACAGCAGCCTTTTAAACTTAATTGATTTCAAAGTGACAAAATCAATCATCTGAAAAATTGAATAAATAGAGAAAAGCCAGCTATCGAAATTGAACATCTCTTTCTTTTGTCGAAATAATAACGATATAATGTTATAAAATAATCTGGCAAGATGATAAATGATATTTGGATCAATGAAATATATGAATAGGAAGTTTACAGTCATAAATAAAGATATGGCAAATAAATTAATTAGACTATTGTCTTAAAGAAAATAAAATAACAAGGAAAGTAGACATAAAAACATGGAGAAGAATCTTCAAATTAAAAACTATATATTTATTCTAGGTGCACTAGACTCTCACCACTACGAAGTTTGATAAGAGTTAGATATTCGTAGTCTTACCCTAGCATGTAGAGATGTTTTTGTGGTTTTAACACCTAATGCCCAGGCATTCTAGATCTGCTCCAAGATTTCTTCAAGGCAAGCAATTTAATGTAGAGTATTTTATGAATATTCTATCAAGAGGTACCTAGGGTTTCCATGGACAATTTACTAAACAAAGATAGGAAACCAATTATCAGGATACATAAACATGGACCATTTATGCTATTGTTTTTCGTAGGTTCGAGCTAAACACAAGGAAGTTTGTCTTCAAAAAGATAGTCCCCTGGGAGAAACAATCCTTGTATGTTACAATTGTGGTTGTCGAAATGCTTTCCTTCTTGGATGCATCTCTGCCAAGACAGAGAGTGTTGTCGTTCTTTTGTGCAGAGAGCCTTGTCTCAGTGTCAATGCATTGAAGGATATGAATTGGGACCTGAGTCAGTGGTGTTCCCTTATATATACCTTTTTCCCAAAGTTGCTAAACTTGTACACTTTGTTAAAGCTAAAAGTACACTTTATGTTGTAGGCAGATAATGAGTTGCGTCTTGTACCTGGTGATGAGTTGCGGCTACGCTATTTAGGAGATGCAACTCATGCGGCAGTCAGTAGGGCATGTGGTAAGCACTTTCTTTTAATATAATTTGTTATTTCTTTTGCTTGTCATCTTTAGTTTTTGATTTTGTTTTAATTTCTCTTGGTTAATTTTTCCATTGAGAAGTTGTCATATAAAATGTTGTCCTCACCCCACCTCGCCTCACCATTTGCTGTCCAAACACCGCCTACTGGTGTTTCAGCCTCAGCTGCGAAGAACAAGGGGATGGATAATTACAAACAGGGGAAGTATGCTGATGCCATAAAGTGGCTTTCTTGGGCTGTGATTCTTCTTGAGAAGACTTGTGATGGTGCTAACCCTTGTAAGTTTATTTGTGATTGGAAGTCAACTTGTCTGTAACCCTTTTGAGTGAAGTGTGGTTTTGAATGGTACGAAAGACAGACTTATGTCTCTGCTCTACTCGTTAATGTTCTTCTTACCTTTAAGTGGAGAAGAAGTAGAATGATATTTTTTTTCTTTGATGATATTATTATAATGGACGCTTGATGTTTTCAATTAAGTAAACTTATTTATGTGCACATGTTTGTAAGTCTGACTATGTTATCCTTTGTTATATTTACCGTTTTGTCTTTCGAGCAATTAATCCAATGCCTATAATGCAAAATCATGATTTATAGACCATTCATGAAGCATTCAGTAAAACCTCTTCAACACGGCTTATAATGTTATTAGAGGATTCACATAACCAGCATCCAGTAGATGTGATTTGAAGTCATATTGAGTGGATTTTCATATGGGCTGTGCTTGTATGTTTGTTAGGTAGACTGCTAATGTTTTTTGTCCCTATAACTCATGAACATGCATTCTGAAATTTATGGCAAAGAAGGGTTCATTGATTTGTGTAGAAAACCTATGTAATTGGGGTTTAAGGCTTGTGTTGGATGCCCACTACATGCATTAGTTTCTGAAACAATTAATGGGTCAGGACATTTTTAAATCCTGCCCCTACTGTGTGCCTCTAGTCTTCGAATAAATTACTAAGTGATGATTTAAAAATGGTCTTTGATATTCAGTTTAATTAAGCAATCTTAATAAAATTTGAAGCTTAAACAGATTGACCAAAAACATACATTGGATTTGCCCCCCTTTTCATTTTTGGTTCATGAATAATACTCATGATGTTGGCTAAGCTTTCATGTGTTATATCTATTCATGTATCTCCTTTTGATGGCTATATTTAAAATTTGTTAATTGCTCTTTGGTAGCCTTCGATTGTACAATCATAATTTACCCAAATTCATACAAATTTTTATGCTAAAATTGCTTGTATGAAGTGTACTATTCTTTGGTCTAATTTTTCTCCACCATTGTGTTGTAGGAACAAATCAACTTGGCTGATGTCAAGTACCCACTGGAGCATTTTAAGGTAGGTTAAAACCTGTTCATTTATTTGATACACAAATAGAATTTTAAACAGAATGACATTTGGTTTCTTTTTGGGTATCAGGGAGCCCTTTGTTTAAAGGAGTTCCTCTTTTTGATTTGAGACAGAATAATAGAACATGTAATCTTTCACTCATGTTCAATTATATATTTCAATTATATGCTGCAATGGTTCATCTACAAGACGTTATTGTTTCTTGCAGAACATCCTTGTTGTCTCAAAGTATTACTGAAGGATTATCTTGGCGAGACTTGCTGAGCTGCTTTGTCTCATTGTTTAGGTATGCCAATACTTAATTGTGGTATAGTCATCATCAAATGTTTGTAATGTAATCATATAAAGTTTTTGCCATATGGTTAATTTTTTTTTTATGAGAATACTTCATTTTGGATATGTTTCTAGATTCTAACTTTTCTTATTTTATTTGTAGGTGACTTCCAAAAACGATCAAGCACAAGGCTGATGCTTCAAAACCATATATATTCCTTCCTGTTTTAGAATTTTTTTTGGATTCCTTCATTGATTTTGCTTTTAATTTTTGTTCAATTACTTACTGGTTTTCAATGGATAGATGTTTAAAACTTGTCTCAATTAATGTTTTGAATGGAATGATTGTAAAGTTTGGGATTGAGCAAGAAAATATGATGAATTTTAATGTTATATTTAGGTTGGGTTGAATGAATTTTGTTCAATATTGGATTGAATGTTTATAAACAAAAATTGATTGTTCAAAAAAAAAAAAATTGGATTGAATGTTGGATTGTGTCGAATGTTAATGAATTATGTATTGTGTCGAATGTTAATGATTCAGTTGATTTGTATGATGCTTTAAAATTATAAGTTTATTATGGATTGAATGAATTATTAGGAATTACAGGTGTATTGTTTTCTTGCTTTTGGCGACCAATTTATTAGTCGCGACAAATAAATAATTTTTTTTCGCAAAAAATGACAATTGCCGACCAAAACAACACTTGGTCGTGGAAACTCACTTTTGCCGACCAAAAGTTTTGGTCGCGGAAGGTAACAAATAGCGACCAAATTTTTTGGTCGTAGAAACTATTATTTAGCGACGAAGAAGTTTTGGTCGTGGAATGTAATTTTTGCCGACCAATTTTGTTGGTCGTTGAAAGTAATTTTTGCCGACCAAATTAGCGACTAACATGTATGGTCGTTGAATGTAATTTTTGCCGACCAAAGTCTTTTCGCGACTAAATAGGTTAGTCGCGATAATTATATGTTTAGCGACCAACAATTTAGTCGCCAAATAGAACGTTTTGCCGACTAAAAATCTTTTTAGTCGCCAATTACTTTCCGCGACCCTCAATTGCCGACCAACTTGGCGACCAAAAAAATTGGTCGGGAATATGTTTTGCCGACCAAAAATGGACTTTTAGCGACCAATTTTTTGGTCGGCAAATGTGTTAATTCTTGTAGTGAGAAGTATATAACAAACTCAACAAACAATCGCAATCAGAATTCAATAGTTGAGATAACTAATACTCCCAGACTGATGTTATTGAACTATATGAATACATAAGTAGAACTTACGAAGTATAGAAATAAAATAAAATAAAAACAGGCAAATTTAGTAAAGAAAATATGAATTAAGTCAACATGAATGCAGTAATTAGAGCAATCAATTATAACCCTAGTGGTTCCCCACATTTTAGTTTGGTTACTAGGAGAGGTGACAGGTCAAAATGAGTTACGTATTAAACAATTCAATTTAATTTATTTATTAGATTTAATTCGATAGAAGTTGGACAAATCAATCCGATTAACTCGTTTAATTTATGACATGGTGGAGAAGGAGGAGTGGTGTAAGTTGGGTGGTAGTTGAGTGGTGGAGGTGGTGGTAGATTGGTAGAGGTGTGGTGGTGCAATGGGTGGTTGTAGTAGTGGTAGGTTTCTTTAAAAAATAATAATAACAATTATTATTCAAACCCAACGGGTTTCTATGATTTAAACCTAATTTTAAAAGGCTTTGTAAGATCCAATACATTTAATCCGTTTGTGAATTTAAATGGGTTTAAACAGATTTCAAACACTTAAAATTGGAGGAGTTCATGGTTTTAGGTGAATTGGGAGTACTAAGCAATCACTTTATATCAAAATTTTATGGGCAAATTGCCAACATCTCCCTTAAGATTTGACTAAAATACAAATTCTTCCCTGAGGTTTGAGAAATTACAAATTTTCCTTGAGGTTTATATTTGCATAACAAATAAGGAGACAATTTTTTATGAAAATATAAACCTCAGGGGGTGGGATGTAATTTCTCAAATCTCAGAAGAAAATTCATATTTTAGTCAAATGTCGAGGGGGCGTTGGTAATTTGCCCAAATTTTATTTAACAAATGACAATACTAGTATTCAAGTCAAGTCATGAATCAAGTTAGGTTGTTGATGATGACTTTTAGGACTATCAATAAGCACTACAAAATGTCAAAATATTTATAATTCTAACATATTATTCACATATTTCAAAATATATTTTTAAACATTTCAATACAATTTAATGCATTTTTACTCACTTTTTTTTAATACTAACGACAATTCTAAAAGCTGTTTTTAGCATTTTCCGTCAAATTATTTTGTAGACATTCTAAACTTTCCTTTGAGCTTCTTTCCAACTGTAAGCATGTAGAAAGGAAAAGTAATTTGAAAAATAACAAATCAATGTTAGTTTTGAAAAATAATAACAGATTCATGTTAAACTTTGTATACTTCAATGATTGAAGTCATAAATTTTTTCATATATCTGTACTTATTTTAAGATAATACCAATGATTTATAAATTTTCCAAAGTAATTTGGTGCTTCCTAAACGCATCATGTGATGCTTTACATCATTTACGAACGGATATTTAAGTAATTTGTTGTGATTATAAGTCATACTTATAAGTAAAATTTTATGTGATAGAGATCACATGGTACATATATAGAATCTTGATTGATCATCTTCCATTATCTAACCAAGTGTTGATGATAACAATACGGCCAAGGAATTATGCTTGCATCTATGGTGGTGATGTGATATTAGTGAATTGAAATTTGTGAGGATAAAAAGTCTTTGAAAGATTCTAATCAAATGGTCATTTGAATTCAAGAGAGACATAATCTATTATGTCCTTGAACAATAAGTGGAATTGCTTGCTTAAAAACCGCACAAACACTTGATGAAATTAAAGCTTTTTCATTGATTAAAAAGTAGTACAAAAGGAGGGGCAGAGAGCCCGGTTACATGTGCAAAGCAAAAAATGAAAGAAAATAGAAAACTACACAAGGGGGAAAGATTAGTGAATTCGTCATCAGCTGCCTCCAGGTTGACCGTTGTTTGCTCTTGGACACCGGTCTCAGTTTCTCCGGGCTGCTCCTGGCCGCTTCCCTCCTCGGCATTGACCTCGGTTTCTTTGGCAAGCTCTTCCTCGGCCTCAGCTTGCAACGCGCTGAAGACGTCATTGGCATAGGGCACGAGGTAGACCGGTAGGAAGGCAACCGGGGGAGTGGCAAACACATCGGTGTCAGGACCTTGACCGAGATATTCGCAGGCTGACTTCCAACCCACTTTGAAATAAATGTCTTGAGTTGCGAAGACCTGCTTCTTGTAGCTGTCCTCGACTTCCTTGAAGCCGGTGTTGTTGGCATCTTCGCACTCCTTCTCCCTTGACGCCTTGACTACGTCCAGCTCGGCTTGGAGCTCATCTCTCTTCTTCTTGGCCTCCTCAAGCTGGCCGAGCAACCTGTTATTGTCAGCATTGGCAATTTGAAGTGAGAATTTTGCTCGGCCGAGCTCGGTTTGCAGGCTCTGGACTTGGCCGGCGGTGTCATTCGCCTTCTGCCGCAGTCAATGGATTCTTTCCATGACCAAATGTTGCTTCTGGATGGCCTGCAAGAAGAAAGTTTGATCAGAAAGGAAACCATGTAAACACTTGGTAATTTTTTTTTTTTTTCATTAAAAGATTGACTTACCCTGGCCATGGACTTAACAGACGATTTCACAAACCGGGTGTCAGAACGTGGTCGCTGCCGACCACGTCGCTCGGTAGGAGAAGGGCTTTGGAAAGGTCCAAGGCGAGCAGGTGCTCTTTGTCGCCCTTGATGGAAACGGTAGCCGGTATGTCCTTTCCCCGGTGTTTTAGCTGCGGTCGCCACGGTGGTGTTGGGTCGACAGTGACGGTGGGTTGCTCAGTGGTTAGCTCGGCAACCAGCTCGGCAGATGGGTCACGCGGGGCCTTTTGCCAGCCCGGCGAGCTTCTTGTCTGGGTTGCCCGGCACCTGGAGATGCCAAGGCGACCACGGGGCCGCTGGATTGTCCGGCAGCTTGAGAGTGGATGGTGATGCTCGGCATCTCGGTTGAGGTTGCGTTGAGGAGGTTCTTGATGCAGCTTCGTTTTGCCATCCCTTGTTCGTCGGTCAGCCGGATTAGTGGCACGTCCAGTAGAGTTGGATCCGGAGGAGGTGTTGGAGCACGGAGAAAGTCTGTAACTTTGCTCCGGTGTGGAGCTGAGTATCTGTAGGTTGGAGTGTAGCCGAGCAACTCGTTACATTCCCGGTGGCTGTAACGGAGCACGGTCCAGATGGCTTCTACGTTGGGATATTGGTAGTTGGCTTGCAAGGCTTGACTTGCTGCAAAAGAAACAAGAAAAATGGTTAAGTACAGAATGTTGAAGGCAGGAAATTGACCGAGCAAATTAGCGCGGCTTACATGTGGAACCAAAGTTCTTGCTGATGAACCAGCCCGATACATCGGTTGGTTCATAATTGCCAGACACCCAGAAGAAGTCGTCATCATGTAAGTCCTTGTCTGGGGTGCCGGTCACTATTTTCTCTTTGCCCAGTCTTATTTTTAAATAATAGGCCAGGCCGTCGCCGGTGTGACCAAGGGTGTATTGTCATAGTATCTCGGCTAAACCTAAGTTTATTCCTAGCCGGTTGTTTAGCTCGTGCACGCCATTGATTATTCGATAAGTATTGGTCGAAACTTGGGTGGATGCTAGCCCGGTGCGGCGCAGAAACTCGGTCATCAAAGGGTTGACCGGGAAGCAGTGGCCTCCTTCAATTACTGACAGCACGGTGAAGGGGCATTGGTCAAGCCTGCCCCAAGGGGTTGTTTCTATCTCGGCGAGCTCTAAAGACATCTGTTGGGATACTGTATTCTTCCCTTAAGGCGGCTAAGGCAGCAGGTGTGTCCACAAGGAAGCGGAATTTCCCCATGTGTGGCCGACCAATTTAGCTCGGCTGAGGTGGTTTGGCACAGGCTGGGAATTAATGGCTGCTCGGTCCTTGAGAGCCTCAGAATTGGGCTTTGGTCCCCTTGGACTCTGTAGGAAAACGGAGGGTAATCGTAAGTGGGAGCGTGGTCGCGCAAAACGAGCTAGACTTGAGCTTGGACTTGGATTGTGCCAAACCACCTCGGTCGTAAAGGCTAGCCAAGGAGCTCGGTCGCCCAAGCGGACCAGATATTAGCCCGGTTGAACGGCCAAGTCATTTGGTTAGCCCGGTTTCTACTAAGGTTGGGACAAACTGCGTATTTGTTCGGTCCGAGTATTTTTTTGGATCAAAGGAAGACCTGGAGCCCGGTCCGCCCCAGATCCTCAGTGTTCATAAGAGAAAATGAAGAACAGCAAGGAGGGTGAAGGGTTAGGGACGGTTTTGGGTTCCTATGTCCTAAAACCTACGGATTTAGTGCCCTAATATGTGAAATGCCGACTGAAATAGCAAAAACGAGGTTCAGGGAACTTACCAGTTGAGGGCAGGGCCTACTTCTTCGAGCACAAATGCAAGGAGTGGCAGGGACGAAGTTTTGCTGGGGGAGCTTGAGCTCTGAAACGTCGAAGGCTTGAAGAGAGGCAGTAGGAATGACAGGAAGCGAGAAGGGGTATGTCTATAGAGGGGGAAAAGTTGCCCAAATTCAAATTTGAGGGGACGGTTGGGTTGGCTGCTCGAGGACCAATAGGAGATTGACACGTGCCCCCATTAATGGCGGCGTCAGAGTTGAAGAGACAGGAAGGCCAGATGAGGCGTCGACCGAGCAAGACAAGGAACCGAGCACGGAAATTAGCCCGATTTGCCTCTTGCAAATTATCAACCGAGGAAGAGTTTATCCCGGTCAGAACAGGTAATCCCAGTCACGCTGTCCCGGACGGAATTAAGGGGCAATTGAGAGGGAAAAATATGGTCTGGATAGGGCCATGGTAATACCAGGCAAATTGTGGGCCGAAGATATTTGGGCCATGGTATCCCGGGTCCACCCAGAAGTGATTTTTGCTCGGCAATGGCAAGGGCATTTGGAACCGGGCTACTTCACCTTGTCGGCACGGAGGCCGGTCAAGTAAGGGTTCCACGGTTTATGCGTTGCGCGGTTGGAAAGCATGCATCCATAGCTCGGCGTGAAGGCTCATGCCTGAAGCTCGGCAGGAAGGACTTTGGTTGACCGGTATGACCAATCTCAAGCTTGGCTTCGCTGGAATGCAGTTGAGCATGGCTGGAAAGGAGCTCGGTTGTTGGGCACCTGGGCATGAAACGCAGCATGGCCGTTGACAGCTGAGATGCTACAGCCCGGCTGCCGAGCTCCCAATGCAGTGGGCTGGCAGTCGGGTTAGGTGATGTTTAGCAAGATTTGTGCTGACAGATGGGATAGCAGAACCACGTGTCGAGAGATCACTGGGAGTAGATTTGGGGCGCAGAAGGTATATAAGCAAGACTGCGCCCCCCATGCTGGACACATGAACATTCGGTAAGAGAAATACTTACACTCAACCCAGTCCTCTCTCTCTTTCTCTCTATCCCTGTGTGTGTGTCTAACTTGATCGTCGAAGGGGTTTTTCGGCCACACACCGTCGGGTAGCTCACTGTTGTTGTGCACGCAGGTGATCGAACAGAAACGGAGCTTGGAAGAAATGAGTGCGGGCTTGCCTGAATATTTGCTCCCTGCACACTTATGTTTATGCATACATATTTGTTGATGTGGTTTATTTCCCCTTAAACCTAAGCATGTGTTAGGTTTCTTTGGTCTTTGTTACTAATATGTCTAAATTTATCATAACGTTTTGGGTTTTAATTTGCCTATGACCTGTGTATGCATGTGGTATTTGTGATTAGCTTTGAAGAACAATGCAGTGGTCCAGAGAACAATGCAATGACGAAAGATACAGGAACATAGAGTTATCAGGTCTGTGTTCTACTCATGTTTACAAGCTTTGCTTTTTTGTCTTTTGTCTTTTGTCTTTATATTTTGTTCAGAGAGTCAACCAATAATGCTACTATTGATGTCACTCAAGTTGCCTTGTGAAATATCTAGACTTGTGAACCTATCAACCTGTAGGGAGGTTGGAAGTTGGATGATGATTCCTGATTTAGGCTTCTGTGCCCTGATTTTGCTTTGCTTGAGGTGTTGAGCAGTGGTCATGTACATATTCAAAAAAAAAAGAAAAAAAAAATTTCCAGTTGTTTATGGATAAATTTTATAGGACCCATGTTAGTGGACTATACTTGGATAAATTCTAATTTTCTTCAGCACAGTTTTTAATAAAGTATTAACATCTAAGTGGATAATATACTATTAGTTTAATAATTTTTGTTTCCTTTGCATCCTCTCTTTATTTGGTTGTTGTCTTCACCCTTTTTGATGAGGCGTATTTATTGCATCTGACTGTTTGAAAACCCATAACTGGCTCAATTGATATTGTGCAACGGCTTTTGGGAAGTGCCTGCGTGGATTGAGTGCTCTTAATATTGATGCACTTGGCTTCCATGAATATACCTAGTTGATTTTTTAAATGAATCGGTATAGAGCTGATTTATTGACACTAGGCAAGTGAACTAGGATGGGCTTTGATTTTGTTGAAATCACTGCTTGGGAAACTATGCACAAGAATTCAATAGGGATTAGAAACTTTGTTCATAAAAGCATGGATAACCATTACATTTGTGTCACCTCGATGACCATTAATGAGCCCTAGGTTGATGATGTTAGTACCTCAGACATCTTGTTCGTCTATTTCTTGAATTTATGCCAGTAATTTTAATTTAGTTTGACATTTACTATTGGACAGGATTTTGTTCTGTGATGAAAGCCAGGATACACCACACTATGAAGTCCTTGCCAAGCTTGGTTTTCAATTCTTGTTGTAATGAAAGTTCTAAATTTACCACAGCATTTTTAGTTTTGCAATGGGTTGCAGTCACATCTACTTTTGAGACAGCAAAAATGTTGTGTTTGGTGTAAGTTGTGAAAAACTTGCTTGGGAAAATATCGGGTATGTTTGGTTTTGTTTTGGGAGAGTAGTTTTTAAAAATTTTTTTGGGGAGAGAGTTTAGAAATTTTTTTGGTTTGTTTGGTTGTGTATTTTGAAAGTAGTTTTGGAGTTTGGGAGTTTGGAATGATTTGATATTTTGTTATAATTGAGTATATGTGTGTGAGAGAAAAAGTGATTGAGAATGAGAGAGGAGAGAGAAAAAGTGATTGATTGATTGATAGGTAAGAGAGAGAGTGATTTTGGAAAATTTGCAAACCAAACAAATTTTTTAGAAATTTTTTCCCAAAATCACTCTACAAATCCAAACAAAACATACCCATCGATTTTGGTAAACATGAAGTGTGTATAGCTAAGAATTGAGGGGTTATCTTTAAATCTTTAATTTGCTTTGGTAGAATTTATGCATTAGTCCATGCTTCCACTTCCTTCTGTGATGGTTTGGTCCTATTCTTGTTGGCTTGCTAAACTAATTGCTCTTATTTTGCATTAGAGTGGGAGAGGTGGATCAGATCATTCTCAAAATGTTCCTAATGAGGAGATAGGCGTTGGACATGGAGGGTCTTCTGGTAGAGGTTATGGGCTTTCGGCTGTTGGAAATGGTCCATCTGTCGAATCTTATCGCCGTCAGCATGAAATTACTATTAGTGTAAGCATCTAATAAGATTTGTACATTAGGTTGCTTACTTATAATCTGCAATACTTTTGCTTCTTAGGCGTTCCGTTTGATTGAACATTGGGTTCTGTATTTTACTTTCAATAGTTCAATCCTTGGGTCATCGCGCATGATGCTTTCTTTGATGATTATGAAGACAGAAAGGTTCTCAAGCAGAACAATCTTGTTTTCAGTATAGAATATTACAATTAAATTTAGTTTATTAGTTTAGACTTCGCTTGCTCTTTATTGGAATTCTTCTGGCTCATGCCTTTTACACTAGACATGCATTTGGGAAATTCAGAAGTGTGGCATTATTTCATTGTCCATGGTGTTTTAGGATCTCCTTCAATTTTCCACTATGTATTCCTTTATATTTCCGTTGTGCAGTTTATATTGTTGTAATGGATTAGGGTGTTATTGTTTCAATTTTCATCAGGGAGATAATGTACCCCCTCCTTTAACATCATTTGAAGCTACTGGTTTTCCTTAGGCCAAGTTTGGCATGTCTTGAAAAAGACAAAAAGTCAAAAAGTCACTATCCTATTTAAGTCACATCATCTTATTTAAGTCACATCACCTCTCTAACACATCGCTTCAAATCCAACCCGAACCCAACATATATTTCATAAAAAGTCAAAAAGTGCACTTATTTAGATCATTCCAAATAACCCCTTAGTTGGTATTAATTCTTCATTTTAACATTGCATTTTTAATTCATAGTCAAGTTTTTACATTTGAGAACCAAATGAAGCCTTTATATTCTTCCTCATTTATTATTGTTGCCTTGAAACATTTAAAGTATTGAGAATTTCATGTGATTTCAAGTCTTGCTACACACGGTAATATTGTTCCTAGTTTTATTTTTTCTAGTTTAGCCAAATAAGTGAAATTTGAAAAGTAACCTGTTATTTAGGAAGTTAATTAATGTCCTTTGAATACCAAGGAAAATGAGCAGCTATCTAAGTATGGTGACACTAAAACAGCTCGTAGCATAATGTTGATAGAGCTTAAAAAACTTATAGAAGCAAATCCTCTTACCCGTGAAAAGCTTTTTTTCCCTACTTTAAAGTCATCAAGATTGTGGACTGTGATCAATCAAAGGTAATGTTGGTTGCCTTGTGAATTCATTACCAATGGTGCTCCTCTTGCCAGGTTACATATCCAACATCTCGTCAACATGCCACTTGGTCCTTGGATGACTTGCCAAGAACAGTAGCTTGTACCATGCATCAAGGATCTACTATCACTAGCATGGATTTTCATCCTTCTCATCACACATTGCTTCTTGGTATGATGGTCTTTGATCAATGATTTATGATTTCAATGGTTGAGCTCCTGCTAAATAAATATACGAGTTCTTCCTTTTCTTTCCTTTGTTTGACGTAGATTCTCTTTTAAGGCAAATCTGCTCCATCTGTATGCTCCAGCAGTGGTGACTTCTGCAGTTCTGTTGCAAGGATAGGTGTATGGTTTGTTTGTTTGTGCGATTTACTTCAGACCCACAGGTCTGCCATGACTTTAGGATGCAGGTGGTAGCTCTTCAGCTTAGGTGCTGCAGCTCTGTTGGCTCAGTCAGAATTAATCTGCAGGTTGCAGGTTGCTGTTTGGTTCTGGTTTGGACTGTTTTTGGACTGATTACCTCTGTCTTCTCTGGGCTGTTTGCATATCTGTGGGGTATGGTGGTAGTCTCTGATCTGAGGGCAGAGGTGTAGCCAGTTGGTTCCAAGGGAGTTGTGTCTGGGCTCCTGGAGACTTCATCCAGCTTTGCATCTGTGCTGAGTTTTGGTGATAATGTTGGTGCAAATTTGAAGCAAATATGCAGTAGATTCAGAAATGGAGTGCCCCAAATTGTGTAGTCTGCTAGCTCTGGGGACTGATCTCTAGCTGAGTTTTGTTTAGCTGTATATGCTGATCAGTCAGCTGTGGTTGTCCAAATGTTATGGAGTCTGCTGCCTAGTTTTGGTGTTAGATCTGCTTTGTTCTGTTTTTTTCCTCTGTAGTTTGGTTGTTAGCTACGGTTGCCTTTCTTTTTTCTGTTTCTCTTGTCTTGTTTTGTTGGTTTCTCACCAACTGGCGCTTGGAGCTTCTGTTAGCTTCAAGCTCCTCTTTATTGATGTTCTGTATCTTTCTTGGTTACTTTCATCAATAAAGATTTTCTTTGGCGATCAAAAAAAAAAGATTGTGGACTGTGATCAATCAAAGGTAATGTTGGTTGCCTTGTGAATTCATTACCAATGGTGCTCCTCTTGCCAGGTTACATATCCAACATCTCGTCAACATGCCACTTGGTCCTTGGATGACTTGCCAAGAACAGTAGCTTGTACCATGCATCTAGGATCTACTATCACCAGCATGGATTTTCATCCTTTTCATCACACATTGCTTCTTGGTATGATGGTCTTTGATCAATGATTTGAACATACCACCTATGATTTCAATGGTTGAGCTCCTGCTAAATAAATATACGAGTTCTTCCTTTTCTTTCCTTTGTTTGACGTAGATTCTCTTTTAAATAGTTGGTTCTGCCATTGGTGAAATAACGCTCTGGGAAATGGGGATGCGAATAAATTGGTTTCAAAGCCATTCAAGATATGGGACATGGCAAATTGTTCTATGCCGCTTTAGGTTCCTTTTCATCTCTTTGTGCTGCTTCATTTTTATTACTTCCCTTTTCTTAAACCTTGTTGCTTGTTATCTTAGCATTCTATGATGTGATATATACCTATGACATGAGATATCTACGTAGGTTGTAAACAGCATGTATAAATTAATTGTGACCAGATTATTTATTGCTTGATTTGGGGACATTTATAATACTAATCTTCAACTAGCTGTTGTCAAATATTATTATTTATTTATTTTTTTTAAATTCCCATTTGGAATGTTGAGATCAAAGTGATAATTTGGAAAAGAAGTCTCCAATTGATGCTAACATGCAGGAACCCTAATCTTTGTGTGTTGGGCATTTATAATACTAATCTTCTGTAGGTTATTGAGTTTGCCCTGGCTTTGCAGGAAGCTGGGTGCTTTTCTATTGTTCTAAAATGTGTGTTTGCACCTGTTGCTGCTGCTGCTGCAACATCTGCTCTTCGAATCCCTACCATTGGTATTGGTGCAAGGACTTTCTGTAGTGGCCAAGTTAATTGATTCTTTAGCTTTCTGTAGTACTCCGAATAATGAATTAGACTTGACTGGTTTGTGTTGTGTATAATCTTTTTACTTTCATTTGTACATATAATTTGCTATTTGATCTTGTAATTTGTTTTTCAAATACTAAAATGGGTATTTTAATGATATCATGTGTTTATATATTGAGTTTACTCATATAATAAACTTTGAATTTGCTCTCTCTCTCTCTCTCTATATATATATATATATTAAAAATAACATTCTACGGCATATAAAATTATGTCACGAAAAGTATAATGATTTATGACATGCAAGAAAATGCCGTAAAAAATTATATACGGCATACAAAGTATGCCATAAATATATTAAAAATGACCTTCTACAGCATACAAAATTATGTCGTGAAAAGTGTAATGATTTATGACATGCAAGAAAATGTCGTAAAATATTATATACGATATACATAGTATGCCATAAATATATTAAAAATAGCTTTCTACGATATGCAAAATTATGTCATGGAAAGTATGATGATTTATGGGGTGACAAATATCGTAAAAAATTATATAGGACATACAAAATATGTTATTAATGTTTAATTTATTACTTTTTACAACTTTACCTGTATGTCATAAATGATGCTCAACTTTTCACGACATGTCATATAACGGCATTTGTGTGCATGCTGTGAAAGAGTTTTTATGGCATACATTGCAAGCCATAAAAATATAATTTTGTTGTAGTTGAAATACCAAATAATCATGGATAGTTATTTAAGTTAAAATAGTAACAGAACTTAATTTGATAAACGAATGATTTAAAGTGGCAGAAACTGAAATACATAAATTATGTAATTAAATAACGATTTAAAGTGGCAGAAACTGAAATACATAAATTATGTAATTAAATAACCATAACCATGGTACAGAACAGAGGTCATTGGAGTGACAGTCAGAATAGAGGACAATGGATCTATGACAAACAGAGGACCACAAAGTGGCCAAATAGAGGCCAATGGTTATTTAAGTCCCCCAAGGCGTGGGACTCCGGTGGTGGTACTTACAAAACATAATTGTTTATAAGGTCATTGTCAAATACTTTCTAAAATTTAAACAAACGTATCCATGGGTTTTATTTTAAACAAATAAAGTTCAGAAAATACTCACCTTAATATTGACCCTTAGCATTTACTTTCCACTATCACAAACCTTCTTACTATAAGTTTCCTACCTCCAGTATCTTGCGTGTTTTTTTTTTTTTTCTTCCTCTTGTGTTTCACATTTCTCTTGCACAACTCCTCCCTATTTATAGGGATGCAAATGTGCCCTCAGGCCAACACATGGCCACAACTTAAATCCCCTTAGATTTGATCATAAATCTCATAGATTGATACTTATCTAATGAATATTTGTAGCAATTATACTTTGGCCCAGTTCTTTAACATAATTATATAAACCAACTAATCCCTAATTAAATTACACTTTATCGTATACCAACAGAAAATTAATTATTTATTTTACTATCACACCCACTATTATTATTATTATTATTATTATTGGTTGTGGTATTAATTAAATATTTAGGGTGTCACATTTCTCCCCTTCTAAATAGAAGTTTGTCCCCAAACTTGACGTACTTTAATTGTCAAAGAGGTATGGGTATTTGGCTTGCATTTGACTTTCTATTTCCCACGTAGCTTCTTCGATACGATGATTTCACCATAAGACTTTTACCAGCGGTATAGTCTTATTTTGGAGAACTTGATCACGACAATCGAGAATCTGCACTGGTTGCTCTTCATAAGAGAGGTCCTCTTGGACTTCCAAGTTCTCATAGTCGACAACATGTTCTGGATCTCAGAGGTACCGTCGGAGCATCAAAACGTGAAACACATTGTGAACATTGGACAGTTCAGGCGGTAGTGCAAGGTGATATGTTACAGGACCAATCCTTTTTAGTATCTCGAATGGTCCGATGTAACGTGGGTTTAACTTCCATTGCTTTCCAAATCGTATAACTCCTCTTGTTGGTGAGATCTTGAGGAACACACGATCCCCTACTTGGAATTCCAAGTCCCGTCTCCGTGTATCTGCATAACTTTTCTGGCGGCTTTGGGCAGTGCGAATTCGCTGCTGGATAAGTTGGATTTTATCACTTGTGATTTGCACGATCTCGGGGCCTAACAGTTTCCTGTCCCCAACTTCCGTCCAGCATAGAGGTGATCGACATCTCCTTCCATACAGAGCATCGTACGGCGCCATTCCAATGCTTGCTGGATAACTGTTGTTATAGGCGAATTCCACTAAAGGTAGGTGCTCATCCTAGTTACCTTTGAGGTCCAATACGCATACACGTAACATGTCTTCCAACGTCTAGATTGTTCTTTCGAATTGCCCATCAATTTGTGGGTGATAAGCAGTGCTAAACTGCAGTGTAGTCCCCAAAGCCTCCTTCAATTTGTTCCAAAAGTGAGACACGAAGCGGGAGTCTCAGTCAGACACGATTGAAACTGAGGTGCCGTGCAAACGAATAATTTCCTTGATGTATAAGGTGGCAAACTTATTAAGGGAGTACAAGATTTTGATTGATAGAAAATGCGCCGACTTCGTGAATCGGTCTACTATAACCCATACTGCATCATTCTTCGAAAATGACTGTGTTAGCCCGACCACGAAGTCCATAGTGATGTGCTCCCATTTCCATTCAGAGAGTGGTTGCAGCAGTCTTGCAAGTCTCTGATGTTCTACTTTAACACGCTGACAATGCAGACATTTGGAGACATGGCTTGCTATGTCTCTTTTCATTCCTGTCCACCAGTAGTGTTCCCTTAGATCCTGGTACATCTTTGTGTTGCTAGGGTGGACTGCAAATCTCAAGCTATGAGCTTCCATCAATATCTTCTTCTTGAGTTCTGGAATGTCAGGTACGCACATTCGATTCTGAAATTTTAGTATCCCATTGCTTATAGTGAAATCAGGATCAAGCGTACTCCTTTTCTCCTCGTACTTTCTCTTCAAAAGTTTATCTTCCCATTAGCGCGCTTTAATTTCTTCAATCAATGTAGGTTCCACGGTTATCTTGGCGAGCAATCCATTGATCTTGCGGGAAACGAGAGTACATGCCAAACTTTTGATCGCCTTTCGGCTTAGTACGTTTGCCACCATGTTAGCTTTGCTTGAATGGTAATGGATCTCTACATCATAATCTTTCATAAATTCTAGCCATCGTCGTTGTCTCATATTCAATTCCTTATGTGTGAACAAATATTTAAGACTCTTGTGATCAGTGTAAATTTCGCAAGTTGTACCGTAAAGATAATGATGCTAGATCTTGAGGGCAAAGATTACCGCAGCCAATTCCAGATCATGAGTTGGGTAGTTCTTCTCGTGAGTCTTTAGTTGTCGCGAGGCATAAGCAATGACTTTTCCGTTTTACATAAGAACGCAACCCAAACCATTGCATGATGCATCACTATAAATTACGAACCCATCTACTCTAGTAGGGAGTGCTAGTATAGGAGCTGACACAAGTCGACTTTTTAATTTTTGGAAGCAACGCTCTTGCTTCTCTGTCTATTCGAAGGGTGTGTTCTTCTGAGTTAGCTGGGTCAAGGGTGATGCTATCTTCGAGAAATCTTGCACGAAGCGTCGGTAATAACCAGCTAGACCCAAGAAGCTTCATATTTCTGACATGTTAGTAGGTCGTGGCCAGTCCACGATTACTGCAACTTTTTGGGGGTCAACCGAGATACCATCTTTGTTAATGACGTAACCGAGGAAGTGTACACTAGTGATCCAAAATTCGCATTTCTTCAACTTGGCATAAAGTTTGTGATCACGTAGTGTTTGCAGAACTATTCGCAAGTGCTGCTCACGGTCTTTTGGTGATTTGGAGTATATGAGGATGTCATCAATGAAGACGATGACGAACTCATCAAGATAGGGTTTGAACACTCGGTTCATGAGGTCCATGAAGGCTGCTGGAGCATTTGTGACGCCAAAAGGCATGACAAGAAACTCGTAGTGCCCGTAACGGGTTCTGAAGGCAGTCTTTTCGATGCTTTCCGTTTTGACTTTTAGTTGGTGATACCCCGATCGTAAGTCGATTTTTTAGAATACTTGGGCGCCTTGAAGTTGATCGAACAAGTCATTGATTCGTGGCAGAGGGTACCGATTCTTGATGGTGACCTTTTTCAGCTCCCGGCAATCAACACATAACCTCATTATGCCATCTTTTTTCTTTATGAATAGTACTGGAGCTCCCTAGGGTGAGGTACTAGGTCGAATGAAACCTTTGTCTAGGAGTTCTTGGAGTTGAGTCTTCAGTTCTTTCAATTTCGTCATTGACATGCGGTAAGGGGCTTTTGATACTGGTTGAGTACCAAGTCGAGTTTCAATGGTGAATTTGATTTCCCGGTCAACCGAGGTACCAGATAGATCTTCAGGAAAAACATTCGGGAATTCTCGTACTACGAGGATCACATCAACAATGGGGGCCTCTTTTTGTGTATCGATCACATAATAAATATAACTACCACAACCCTTTGTTAGAAGTCGTTGGGCTATCATGGAGGATACAATACAGGGAGGGTTGGAAACTCCAGTCCCATCAAAGACAAGCTCGGGTTGGTTTGGTAACTTGAGGGAGACCTTTTTGGTTTTACAATCAATAAAGGCATGGTTGGTAGCCATCCAATCCATACCTAAGATCACATAAAGTTTCCAATGCGAAGGGGAATCAAGTCTACATATAAGGTTTTACCTTTTAGGGATATAGCACAAGATTTGTATACATCAGCACTAAGGGCGAAATTACCAAAAGAAAAAGACACATACAATATAGATCCTAAGGGTTCGGGTATTGATGTCAGCTTCTCAGCAAAGTGTGGTGCAACAAAAGAATGAGTTGACCCAAAGTAAATGAGGACGTGAGCTAAATGACCATAGACAGAAAGTGTACCTGACACAACGTTTTCGGTAACTTCTGGTTTTCCAGGTACCAAGGCAAAAGTCCTTTCTTGGCGTTTTTGGTCCTTCCTCTCTCCTCCAGGTCCTGTGGATTTTTTGACTGGGCTAGAGGGCCTGGCTGTAGGATTAGTTAGCTTTGGAC